TTTGATAATTGCCTTAGCCGTTTTCACGGTGACGGTAATATCTTAGATATTCCTATTTAAAGTTTTAAATAGGGCAAAACATGTATTTTTAAAGAAATGAATTTCAAGGGTGTTACATTGGGCTTGGCACACTATTGGATAGAATTCAAATCCAAGATGGTGCTCCCCAGATTTTAGTTATTGAAGGTGGAGAGGAGCTTCAAAATCAACAACTGCAGCAAGAACAACAACAACAACATGACCAAGTACAAGAAAAACAACGGCAACAATAAAAACAACAACAGCAACAACAAGAGTTTCAAGAAGAACAGCAAAAGCAACAGTAACAGTAACAGGTTCAAGAGGAACAACAACCTCACCAAGAACCTTCTGATTTACAGGTATGCATAGAAAGTTAAATGTTCTTTTTTTTTATATAAATGCATGTTCTTGTTCTTATAATTGCATGTTCTTTTTCTCATAATCGCATGTTCTTTAATAGGTATATTTATGTTCTTTTTCCATCTAATAGAATGTGTATGTTCTTTTTCAAATAATTCCTTGTTCTTTAATAAGTATACTTATGTTTTTTTTTTCATCTAATAGAATGCATGTAGTGTGTAAATTGACCTATGTATTTTTAAAAAAATTACATGTTCTTTATCAATTATACTTATGTTCTTTCACATTTAATTAAATGTATATGGATGTAGCATGTTCTTTTATAGTTACACTTATGTTCCTTTTCATTTTATTGCATGTTCTTTTAATTTATGTTGTATGTTCTTTTACAGGAGTATACCCAGTTGCTTCGTCAAGCAACAGAAAAAATTGCTTCTGACTTTGTGAACCTCTCCAAAATTCTGAAAATGGGAGAGAGGTTCCATAACAGACCATTGGATGGAGATGCCACATTGCACAATGTAACTATAATGTGGTCCAAACTTTCTGGTCTTAAATTATCGGAAGAAGTGAAAACAAATGTACCTTCTCAAAGAGTTGAGGGGAGTTCCATCCTTAGCCAAGATACAGAGTTATTTACATCTGACTGGTTTGGTGAGATGATTGACAATGTTGTAAAGAACGTTGGTGTGGAAAGAACAACCATGGAGAGAGAGAAAAAAGGAGGTGAAGAGGAGGATTCTCAACCCACTGAGTTAGAGCCATTGGTGTTTAATGTGGTTACCCCGTTGACTACACCACCACAATATACAGGTGATCTAGACCTGAAGCTAGCATTGAGCATATCGATTCCTCTGAATTTGTGAAGCCAGCAATTTTCTGACATTGGTAAATTTAATTCAGTATTCACTGAGCAGCAGTTGGAATCAAGTGCACCAGAGGAGATGTTAGGTGGTTAAAAGACAGGGTAACTAATAATCCTAAAATGTGATTTATGATTTGTGTGGTATATTTACTTAGATTTGAATGATTTGGAATACAAATCTGTAATATTATGTATTATTGAGATTAATGTTGTAATGTTCTATTTTATATTCACTATTACTGAAATGTTATTTATCACTTCATAAGTTGTTCTTTGTAATTTCATACGATGTTCTTTATGATGTCTTATAATATTCTATATAGTGTAATGTTCTGTTTGCTTTCATATAATGTTCTCTATGGTTGAATGTGATGTTCTTTGTTATTTTATTTAATGGTTTTTTTATGGTTTCATTTAATTTTCTTTTTAATTTTATGTAATGTACTGTATGGTTTTTTTTTTTTATATATATATATATTCACTATTAATGATGTAGTGTAAAAAGGGTTCCAAATGAAAGCAAGGATGAAGGTAAATTTGAGAAGGTGGTAGAAGATAAAGTAGCTGAAAATCACAGGTATATACATATATAGATAGACTTTATAATTATTATGGGTTATTGTTGTTACTTCATAAATATTTTTTTTATAATTATTGCTTTTTACAGTGATGCAACTGAAAAAGAGATGGTTAAGGAAAAAAGGCAGAAAGGAAAGGAGGAAAAGAAGGAAAAAAGGTATACATTCTTCTATAAAAAAAACTGTATGTTACTGTATGTTCTTTATGATTTCGTTTTTTGTTCTTTTTAATGCATGGATTATAATTTTTTCATATAATTATTATACTGAATAGTATGATTAATTATATATGTGTGCATTTTTAGTGAAGCAACTGCAGAAAAGGTAGATTGCAAAAAAAAAAAAAAAAAAAAAAAAAAAAAAAAAAGAAAGGAAAGGAGAAAGTGGAAGAACAAAGGTATTTGTTCTATTTTATAAAACTATATGTTTTTTTTAAAGTAATGAATGTTATTTCATGTGATATGTATGTTCATTTACATAAAATTATTTTTGCAGTGTTTGTCCAGAACCTAAAAAGAGAGCTAGGAAGTTGGGACAGGTTTACAGGTCTCCTTTTCCTAGTGCAATATTCTCATTTGATAGAAGGCACAGATGAGTTCAAAGAAGCTTTACTGGAATATGCTTTTTCAGATGAACTTGATGAAGAGTATGATTTTATTCCTTGTACTAAACTATGCCTTTTCATATGAACTTGATGAAAAGCAAGCTTTATTGTCCTTATTTAATATTTTATTTTTGTTTTCTTTTTATGTAGTGAGCTATTTTATGACGACAAATTTGCAATGTTGACAAGAAAATTGGTCAAAACAATGGATAACAATGTATACATCTACAGCGATGTAGTTGATGCTTTTTGTCTCATCCTCAATGCAAAAAATTCTGCTGATGATAAAAAGAGGATTTTCTTCCCAAATGCAGCCATTGTAAATGTAGTTCAATTGATTCTATTCCCTTTTTTTTAAGGATATATTATTAGTTTGATTCTAATCCTTTTTTTTTTATAAAACATAGAACTTGTTATGCGTGAGCGAGGCGTATGTTGATAATAATCAAGAAGCTACATATGGTATTAAATATGTTAAATTCGAAGAGACTATCAGATTTTGGCTAATTGATTGCAATATAGAATCAGTTCAAGGATATCAGATGGTAAGTCATATAATGTTCTTTAATTTTCAAGTAATGTTCTTCTGATTTTATTAAATGTTCTTTTCATAGATTAGTTACACATGTTTGTAACTTCCTTAAATATGTTCTTCTTATTTCATTAAATGTTCTTTTAGATACATGTGTTGTTCTTTCACGATTATATCATGTTCTTTACAATATATTCAATGTTTTTTAAAGTACATGTTCTTTTATCTGCCTGTTTCAGTTCTTTTTCCCTATGTATGCGCATGACCACTTTTATGTGATGGTCATAAATACAAAATCAAAGGATGTGGAAATTCTGGATAATAGACCAATTGTAGAGGGTGTTCCTTTTTCAGAAAAGTACCATGACTTTCCTGAGAAGTTGGTAAGGATGTTCTTAAACTTTTATAAAAAATGAATGTTTTTAATTACAATATATAGTGTTGTTTTTATCTAACTTTTATATTTTTTCGTTGTGTATGGTAGAGGCATGCCTTCTCAATTTACCTGAAGCAACATGGGATGAAGTTATGGGAAAAAGTCCTCAACTATGAAATAAAATTGATAGACATGCCCTGGAGAACGTTGGACAACAATGTTCATTGCGCAATATACGCAATGCGCCATATGGAGACATACTTCGGGAAGCGTAAATGGAATTGTGGCTTGAAGGCTAATTATGTAAGATAATTATATTTTGTTATTTTTTTTTAAATAACAAACATTAATGTTATTCTTTTTTTTTTGTGGGTGAATAGTTTGATGCATTGAAGGCACTTAGAATACAGTACACATATTAGATTCTTGTGGATTAAGTGAACAAGCGCCATGCAGATTTTAGCATGAAGGCCAAGAAATATTTCAAGGAAATTAGGATTGATTAGACACATTTGTGTTAGTTTTTGAACTTGAAGATTTATTTTTTATATGTTTTTTTTTGCTCATGGCTGTTTCTGAAAATTTGGATGTTGTTGAACAATTAGCACTGTTTATTTTTTGAATAGTTGGGACTAATAAACTTTGGAAGCATATTGATTTTGAAGGAAGAATAGAATATACATATACAATGTTCTTTATACAACATGTGTTCTTCTGATTTTATGTAATGTTCTTTTGATTACATCTGATGTTCTTTTTATACAACATTGTGTTCTTTTGATTACATCTGATGTTCTTTTGATAACTTCTGATGATCTTTTTTTTTAGTGCAATATTCTTTTAAATTATTTTGCAACATATGTCTTGTAAACCAACACAAAATATGTCTTTTTATAGGCCACAGTAATCACCATTAATATGCAAAATATGTCTTGTTTTAAAAAATTAATTTGAAACAGAGTGTTCTCATTTATAATATTTTATAAAAAAAATTAAAAAAAAATAAAAGGACAAATATGAAAAAAAAAATGTTAACGTAGACTAAATAGTACATATCATTTATTCTCTAATTGGTGAGCGTATAATATTCACTTCAAAATAGTCATCAGGCTCGAAAAACTCCAAAGACCCTCCAAATTCATTGGAATGTGCCAGAATATTTCCATCAGGTATAGGGAAGAAATCCTTCCAAAAAAAAAATTATTTAAGTAAAAGAGCAATATGTATAAAATGAAAGAACAAGTTGTAACCATAAAATAATGTAATATAGTATAATAAAGAACAATATATACCTTAATCGTAGTCTGTGCTTTTTGTTTCATCTTTGAAACACCCTTTGTGCTTTTCTTTTTCCATGACTTTATCTTTTGACCTTTTAGCTTGTTGGAAACCTTTTCCTGTGTGCTTTTCCACCTAGTATTCTTTTGACCCTTTTTCCTTTTTTGGATAGGATCCTTAACATCAACCTGAATTGCGTGCTCTTTAACAATGCCTCTATGTTCTCTTTCAAGGCCTCCATGTTCTTTTTCAAGGCCTCTATGTTCTTCAGCCAATTCCGCAAATATTAATAGTGGTTCTAATAGACTGCCATCACCTTTATCTTGAGTAACATCTTGTTCATTCGTTTTTGATGACTCAGATGGCACATCTTTATCTTCTCCCATTCAGAGCTTAATCCTAGCAGTGCATTCTTCAATTGCTTCCTCAATGACTGCTCGAGCACTCAAGTCATTCTGTGCCCGATCTACAAGTGTGATAAATGTACGAATATGATACAATCTCCATACACTACAAGGAGTGACACCCATTTCAGCAACATCATTGTCATCAACTCTAGTGCACATAGCAAAATTTGTCCATCTCTTGCAAATGTATCTCTTCGGGATATAAGTAATGTTGTTTAAGTGTAAGACACGAAATGGGTGCTTGCACAACAAACCTGCCTCACCAAATATTTGTAAGTACAATCAACAGTAATTGTTGATTCATCAAATGCAACAGTATGCATGATCAAATCCTTTTTTAGATGCCCAACATGATATTCATAAAGAGGAGGTTGAAATCCTATTAGCTTGGCCGTGCAAGGAACACCATTGACAAAATTGTCTTCAAAATGTACATAGATTTGAATAGTATAAATCTTCCTAGCATGCTCCAACAGTCCAATATCTGCCCAAACTAAATGACTATTTCCGGTCATACTATCATAATCATTACTACCTTCTCTACTCCTCCACTCATCAACAACCTCAATAAAAGTAGTGTAGAAATCACATAGACCATGAGTGGCATGTAGTCGACGGGAAACTGATTTGTTCATAGTTTCACTCCTCTGAGATGACATAACACCGCCACTAAAATAATCTTTGGAATATGCAGGACACCATATCTCTTTGATATTATACAGATTTTGCAGCCATTTATTATCTGTGCATTTGTACGTTTTTTGCATGCTATAAAATAAAAGAACATCATACTAAGTGAAAAGAATGTCAAATATAATAGAAAAGAACATCTGTCTACTTTAATCCAGCACATTGTGTTCACTTGAGAGGAACATCAAATGTATGTTAAAAGAACATTAAACGTACAACACAAGGAACATTCTTTTAAGTAAAAAGAATATCACATATAATAAAAGAGAACATCTGTCTATATTAATCCATCATATTGGGTGTACTTGAGAAGAACATCAAATAAATTACAAAAGTACATTAAACATGAAAATAAAGAACATCATTAAGCAAATTAAAGAATATTGAAGCAGTAAAATATTTAAATAACATAAATTTAAAATAATTAATTTATAGCGTTACCTTGACCAATAGTTCTCGAATTCTTGAATAGTATCTGTATACTTCAAAACAATATCAAACAAATCATTAAAACCTTTCTTTGCTCTAAGTCCTTTGATATTTTTCTTTGCATTCTCTCCAATATGCCACATACATAATCGATGTCGGGAATTTGGGAAAACAACCTTAATTTCTTTGGCCATTGCTTGAGCTTGGTCAGTCATTATTGTCACAGGATGTTTGTCACCCATGGATTTCAAAAAAGTATTGAACAACCACTCAAACGACTCCCATTTTTCATTGATCAAGAAGCCAATACCAAGCATGACATTATTGTTATGATGATTCATACCAACAAAAGGTCCACAAATCATACCATATTTGTTTGTAGGGTACGTTGTATCATAATAAATCTCCAAAAGCAACATAATCTACCTTCATTCTATTATCACGAAAGAAGAAAGATTGCAAATGACCTTTTTCATCAACATCAAAGTCATAATAAAAGTCATACTCACTGAATTTCCTCTCCTTAAAATAGCTTTGCATCACAGCCATCAAACTTCATTTTCTTATGTTGAGATAAAGCACCATACGCATCCCTACAAAGAAATGAAAGATTTGCCTATCCACCAACTTGATGCTTTAAAACACGCACTACATCAACAACAGGTATACTACTCTCAGTCAAGCTACTCATCATCACAACTTGTTCATTAGTAACCTGTATACAAAAAAAAAACACATTGTTTCAAAAAGAGAACATCATGTATTTGGTAAAGAACATATATTGCGCATTAAAGAACATGTTTTAAAAAAAAATTTATAGTAATGTCCAATAATTTTAAAATTGTACCATTACCTTCCTATGAGACCTAATCAAATGTCTCTTTGAAACAGGAACCCTACTATGATTATGAACCATAGTGTGATTGACCACGACATACAAACCAAAAACCTTATCAATATCAAATTGTATATGAGCCTTGCAACCTGTGGGGAAATTCCTCTTTTGGTAAACTTTTGGTTGTTCACCATGCTTCTTCTCTTGCTTAAAGTCAGCAAAAGAACACACCAAAAAGCGTTGCCTAGGTGTCCTATCTTTGTCTTCTCTACGATTCAACCTATCTTTACGTGTACCAAAGCCATGTTTAAATGCCTAACTATTATCAAATCATAAGCCTCTTCATCAGACTTGGCTTTTCTGTCAAATAATTCTGATTCAGTTGCCTCGGTAAAACCTGAAATATGAGATCAAAATACATATATATATTAAGATGATGTTCTTATATAATAACATGGTGTTCTTTTTTATGTAGAGTATGTTCTTTAATATATTTGAAATATTTTTTTATGACATGCACATTGATAACGACACATTGATTACAGAAAAATACAAAACAGAGTACAACAAAAGTATGTGACGTTTTCAGAAAAGAACATGCTATTTGAAGAAAAGTACATACAGAGTACTACAAAGTACATATATAATTAACAATTGCACATGCGTTATTATATAAAATCAACATTGATTTCAGCAACAATGACATATAATAACAAATATAAAAGAACATATCTAAATAATCAAAGTACTTCATCTTCAACCTTACACAAATTATTGTAAACTTAAAAATATGATGTAAATCGATAATAAAAATAAAATTAGTAATAATAACTAAATTTAACATTCAAAATTAAGGATTAACAACTGCAAAAATAAAATCGATTAAACAATTCACCTTCATCGAGGTTTACGATACCCTCGACTTCACCTTCATCGTTGATATCATCATGATTTGCATCATCAACAAATCTAGCATTAGAATCATGGCGAAATTCAGATTAATACACTACTACAAAAAAGGGCTTGTAGAACAGTTGAAACAGGCTTTATAGAGCGACTAAGGACCGTTCTTCTGCTAAGCGATGTGTAAAGTATATAAAACGGTTAAGAGAGGCATTTTGTTTGCTTAACTATAGAGTACGGTTGTCAGACATAACCATTCTCTTTTCCCTTCCTAAGATATGGAAATAGATCCATTACCAAAGAGAACGGTTTTGTAAGCCAACAGTTCTCTATTCTACTTTTTTTTTATAAAAAAAAAATTGCACAATATTCGACATCTAATTTATAAATAGAAAATTTTAAATAAAAATATATAGAGTACAGTATATAAAATTGAAGTCTAAACTACAAGAGCATAAAAGTTTATACAATTAATGTAAAAACAAATAAGAATATAACAAGATATCAAAGGAAAATAAAAAGAAACTAGTTACAAAGATCTATATGCACTCCATCTTCTCATCTTCTAAAAAAAAAAATCTGTATGCACTCCATCTTCTCATCTTTATTTTTGAAGACTTGACTTCTCATCTTTTTTATGAAGACTTCTCACCTTTATTTTATTAACCTGCAAAAATATGAGCAACAATTACACAACTAATCGAAAAATATCACTTCTAATATCATTCAAGTCCATAAAAACAAGTTCCACCATTAAACTAAATCTTCTAGATTGTTCCCCAAACATTCCATATCGAAAAGCAGAAGACAAAAAAACGAATATGTAAATAAGAAAAAATCAACCCCAAATTTAATTAAAAGTAAAATTACAAAAAAAGGCAAAGAATCATACGGTAAAACTTCTTAGTGGAGTTAAAGCATAGCGTTTACGATCTGTCAATGGTGACCACCGCAAGTCCTATGAAGTTGAATACCTCCTTCCAATCGGGTCGCCGTGGACATGGCCGAACTGCACAACATGAGTAAAACCATGAATTGAAACAAACTACAGTATATAAATTTATGAGAACTATAATCTCACCATGAACCATTTACGAAACCTTAAAAAATACTTTCAAAACTAACCTCAAATTCAAGATCTGAATAATATTAATCAAGAAAAATCAACAAGTCAGATCAAAACCATTATTATTTTGATTAAAAAAAAAGGTTTCGTCACAAAAATTGCTGGTCAAATAAATACAAAATTTCTTTTCGATTTTGGCACAACAGGATGATAATTGAAACCTTAATCATGTCAAATAATTTCAAGATAATTAAACAATTTCGATCAATTGAAAAATAGAATCGAACCTTTGAAGCCTTCTCCAGATCTGTGTTTGTCCAAACCCTAATTTTCCATTTCCTTAAAAGAGCAACGAAAATGGGAATTTAGGATTTAATCAAATAGAAAACTATGAACGTGAGAAAAATTGAAGATCTAAAAATTTTGAAGATTAAAAATTATGTTTTTAAAAGAAAAGAGTAATAGCATCCTATAGTTAGACATATTTTTTGGCAAAAGGAAGAAAACTAGAAAAGGCAACCATTTATTAGACGGAAGTAATACAGTAGTAATTTAAGGGTAAAAGACGCACAACGGCTGTTGTGAAACACCGTTCTATATTTACTTATTTATTTTATTTAAAATTTTTTAATTCAGGTAAATAAATAGAGAACGGTTGGATAAGCAAACCGTTCTATATTTTTCAACATATAGAACGGTTGGGAAAGGAAAACGTTCTATTTTGTTTTGCAAAACGCTTATCTATGTTAACCATTTTGTCTCTTGCGTTTCTTATTCCACTTTTTGTAGTAGTGATAAACCATTTTTAATTTCTTCTACAAGGAATTCAATTGATCGATTGTTAAATTTCTCTATGTAATTTTTACTCTGTAATTTTCTCTCTCTAAAAAGTTTGGTATGTCTATGATTTTCTCTCTCTAAATCTTTTTTGAAAATATCAGTTAACAAAAGTTACCAAAAACTGAAAGCTATAAACAATTAAGCACAATCCACGTGATAAAACTGTCTTCAAATTTTTTTTAAAAAAATTCGTGTAATTCAAAATTCAGGGAATTACTCTTGCCAACTCAGCAGGTGCAGCATGGTGCACCCTTGTGTACTATCAAACTTTCAGTAGATCTATTACTCAAGAATTCATGCCATAGTCTTCATCCAACTAAGGTAATCTCTTTTATATATATTTTTTTAATTTTAGATATGTTACAACTTATAATAATTTGATTTAATACATTTGTTCATCTATTAGTTTGTTCAGCTTTTACTAATTTTGTTTTCTTAATCTCGTCTCCCTCGGATGGAAGTTACAGATCCTAAATCAACTCAAACTGACGGGGGAAGAATCTGGTGAGCCAAAGTTTGAAATTCTTAAGAAGATACGGGCTAATAAAGATAAAGGAAAGCAACTCGGGAATGTCTTCAAGCCTGCCTGGTAAGATTTTAAAAGCTCTAGAAATTGTTATTTGTTGTGTGGGTGAATTTTACATTTCTAGAACCTAGCCCATAAGGTAATATGTGCTTAATAAATGTGGCCAAAATCAGAGTTCTAATAGCAAATGTGCTACTGGTAATTTCCTTAGGCGTTCATATAGTTGTAAGAAAACATTGGTAGATAATGGTCTGAAAATTAGGAATCCTACCTTTTAATTTAGTAGGGTTACTACTACTACTACTACTATTACTACTACTACTACTACTACTACTACTACTACTACTATTACTACTACTACTACTACTACTACTACTACTACTACTAAATGTGTTTAGGAATCACTATTGTAACCCTATATATATTTGATCAATGGAATCACTCCAATTTGAGGAGTTTTACACAAAATCTAACATGGTATCACAGCACATGTTTTGATCAAACCTCATTTCCGCAATTTTTATTTTTTTCTTTATTCTAGCCGACCACCTCCCTAAACACCGTAGCTTCCCCTAACCGCCCACCATGACCAAGGAAGACAGTGATAACTCATCTTCCTCTGACTATCATCCTGCCTTTGGAGTGAATAACATCAAGAATGTAATCCCCATGATTCTTGATCGTGATAAGGTCCAATATTCAAATTGGGTTGAGCTCTTTGAATGTCATGCTCATGCTTACAATGTTTTAGATCATATTGACCCAAAAACTTCACGGCCTATAGGTATATCGGATGATTTATGGAAGAAACTTGATTCGGTTGTTAAAAACTGGATTTATGGCACAATATCTCGTGATTTGCTTGAAACGATTTTGTGCAAGGGAGCCACGGCTCAAGAAATTTGGGATAAGCTCAAGGCGATTTTTCAAGATAAAAAAACTACTAGGGCGGTATATCTTGAAGATCAATTCAATGCTTTACATGTCTCCAATTTTAATGGCATCTCTTCTTACTGTCGTGAGTTGAAGAACTTGAAGGATCAATTGGCCAATGTTAATCAAGCGGTGTCGGAGCAAAAGATGGTGATTAGGTTGGTCTTGGGTCTCGTAGGTACTGATTTTGACACTGTTGCTGCCATTATCCAAAAATCAGACCCGCTGTCATCTTTTGAAACTGCTCGATCTCATCTTCTTCTTGAGGAGTCAAGGCGTGCCAATGATAATAGTGCTTTCGCGTCGTCCTTCGTACCCCAATCAAGCACCTCGAGCTCCACTAGCACCACAACCGTGCCACCACAACAACAGCAGTAGCCGACCGGCAAGGGTGGCGGCACAGGTGGACGCGGCAGGGGACGCAACCGTGGCCGGGGCAAGGGTCGTGGCCGTGGGCAATCGCAACAGCAGCAGCAACCCCCACCCCAGCATCAAGGTGCGTCTATATGGGGGGGGGGGGTGCTCAGCAACAACAGTGGGCAGGGACAGCAGGTCATACAATGGGGGTATGCACCTTACCCCTACCTACAACAGGGACCAGCACCAAGGCTAGCCTACCCCGCATCAGCCGCAGCACCCGCAACAGCCACATGCACACTACATAGGCCCCTCGCACCAGCAGCAACACTTTCATGGCCAAGGTTCGAAGTACGGTGCAACAATGACTCCAACCGAGCTAGGCAACGCATTCTCGACTATGAGTCTACCAAATTATGACCCGTCTTGGTACATGGATTCCGGTGCTACTTCCACATGACAAATCAAGCCGGTAATCTCTTACCCCTTTTTTAATTTAATAACTCATCATTGTATTCATGTGGGTAACGGTTAACGCATTCCAATAACGGGTTATGGTCACTCTACTATTGCTAATAAATCCCTTGCTTTACGTGATGTCTATCTAGCCACACAAATTATCAAAAACTTAATTTTTGTTAGAAAATTTACTTCTGTTAATTGTGTGTCCATAGAGTTTGATCCTAGTGATTTTTTTTGTGAAGGATCTTCGAACGGGGAATCTAATAACCAGATGCAATAGCGCGGGGGATCTTTATCCTGTCACCACAGCTCCATTAACTTGCCTAGCCATATCTCTCACAGCCTTGTCTCCATCCACATGGCACAACCGTCAAGGACATCTGGGGACACCCACCATGATTTTCTTAAAAATAGGAATTTTATTGATTGTAATAAGGAGCTTGACTCCAATACTTGTATTGGTTGTCAATTGGAAAAACACACTCTGTGGGGAATAGTTTCAAGCCTTAAAAATCCCACTAGTTTGAACCCCACTGTGATCATACACTAAAGTACGGTGGCGTCCAAAAGGGAAGAAGATAGAGCAAAAGAGTCGCCAACAAGTTTTTAAGGAACTTGTAAACCATCACGAGGTGAAGGTTACACCCCTTAACGATCCAAGAGATCGTCAACTCCATAAGGTCATGAACCAAATAAGGGTTTGGGGATGATGGTACAAATCCAACCTAAAAGAGATTGAACCTGCCCTAATAATAGGCCTCTACTTTATTCTGCTCGTATTCATGTGCGCTTTCTGACTAACATACAATCAATAGGATCAACCCTAAACCTGTTTAATGTATGTTGGTTGAATTTAATGCACAAATAAACTATTATTGGCGATCACTTGAATTATAATCACAATTAACCCTAATAAGATTATAAATTATCTTATTAAGCGTGATTGCAAGTACCAATTCCCTTTAAACATGCAATAAAAGGTGATCAAACAATAACAATAAATATAATCAAGCAACATAATAAATAATCAACATCATGAATAATAATTATAAATAAAATAATCATCATCAAAATAATAATAACAATAATATTCACAATCATCATAAATTATAACAATTATAATCATAATCATGTTCATGTTAATATTAAAGCATAATAAAAATAGCAAGATCCTAGGCATGATACTAACAAGATTAATAACAAACCCTACCATGTCACTAAACAATAAAAATCAAATATTTAGCCCTAACATGATACTAACATGAATAAATATTAGGAAGAATATAGGAAGCATCGTACTTTTAATCATACTTGATATTATAGTTACCCTAGACATGATACTAGGAATCAAAATAACAATCTAAGCATGATATCTACATCATAATATCAATTAATCAATTAAAGCACTTACTTGGATGCCTCGTACCTCTTTCTAATAGCAAAATACACGCGTTAGTAACTTCAAGGAAAAATAATAATAAAAGCAATTAAATTAAATAATTGAAACAGAGATTTGGGACCAAACCCTCAGAAATTAAAACCTTTCACGTCTAGGGCGAAGGCAACTTCGAATATGGCTAGGTGTTTCTAGATCTTGCAAATGCGGAATTTTGTATTAAAAAGCAAAGTTTAGAAAAGAAAGAATGAATGAAGATTGATGAATGAAGATTGATGAATGAGATGAATGAATTGAAGAGTTGATGAATGATTTGTGAATGAAAAGAGTTGATGAATGAAGAAGAGAATTGATGATTCTTGGTGAATGATGAAGATAGTTGGTGAATGATAGATGTAGATGATGAATGAAAATGGAGTTTTTAATACGATATTTATAGAGAAAATCATCCAAAAAAGATAATTTAACAAAACAGAGTCTGAAGATCGCAGAAACACACTGGCGCCAGCCCTGGCTAGTTGGCGCCAGGCACCAGTGGCTAGCGTCAGGCGCCAGGCACCAGTGGCTAGCGTCTGGCGCCAAGCCTGGTTCCAGGCGCCAAGGCCTGGGGTTGGACGCCAAACTTGTTTTCAACGCGTTTTCGAAAATCTGATAAATTTCACGTACTGGAAGATAAAATAATATAATTTCAATCGAAAATGCTATTTGATCTTGATTAAAACTCTGAAGAATCCTAACTGAATTAAGAATGATAAAACCTTCTAGAATGTTCTAGAAGACTAAAACCATTCCTAATTACATTAGGAATGATAAATTATATTAGGCCCTCCCCTAGATCATTAGATTGTACTTAAAGCTCAAACCGGGCCCAGTTTAGTAAATTGGCCATAACTTCCTCAATATTCATCGGAATTGGGCTTATAATATATCGTTGGAAAGGTCTTTGCAAGCCCCATCCAAGTACACCACTATTGGACCCATATCATGGACCAAACGAACTGGATTGACTTTTTTCTTTAAAATAAAGTTTTCAAAATCAGGGAGAAGAGAAAAGAAATAAAACTTCCCGCAACACTAGACCTTTCCACACTTTCGTTTCATTCGATTATGATTCGACGTGAAAGGTACTCATCACCGGGTCTGGTTTTGGAGAGTCACAAATGGGTGTCTACAGAAGCCCCCACTTTGACTGAGTTTGGAGAAACGCAAGTTTCGAAAACGAAAGCCAAAGTATCCGATAGGGACGGAGAATGATTTAGAACGTTCTGCGATCCTAAATCAATCTTGTAACGCCGATACCTGCAAAACAATGTTATTTAAACAGATAAGAGAGTTAAGAAACGTGTATCTTGCACCGTCGAGCACACGTCTCTGAAAGTAACCGATTGTTGCTACTTTACTGTTTTGATGACCTCCTGCAAGCTAGAGAATGCCATCCCGCTTGAAAACCGCTACGCCCGTAACTGCTTCCAAATTAGAAGATTGCTTCGCCTGAAACTATCCTCCTCCGCAATGATAATATTCCACATCCTAGGGAACATTATCGAAGATTATTTCTCTCGAAACAATCCTCATCCGCATTGATAATATTCCGCGTCCAAGGGAATACTATCGAAGATTGCTTCTCTTGAAACAATTTTCAGCTGTTTGTGTCAACTCTCCATAATCCAGGGAACGCCACCTTGCTGTTTCGATGTTCACTCGTCTCTGAACAAAGAGCTTCTTTTTGATATGATCTTCTGAATAATGTGTCCACGCGTCTCTGAACGAAGAGCTTGATAATAGGATGCCCACGCGTCTCTGAGAAAAAGAGCTTGAATGAAACGTCCACGCGTCTCTGAACAAAAGAGCTTGAAAATAGGGAATGTCCACGTGTCTCTGAACAAAAGAGCTTGATTGATATGCCCACGCGTCTCTGGAGCAAAAGAGCTTCTGATGGAAATGTTCTCGCGTCTGTGAACAATAGAGCTTCGGTGCTTGAATGTTTGTTGCGATAATGTTCTGAAGAAAAATTTCCGAAGACCAACGTTTGTCGATCTCTAAAGCTCGCCTGAACTTTGCTTTCGCTAAAACCAGTATGTCAGTGTTTGCGTAATGAGCCATATCTTAGGCGCTTTAAGCTAAGTGAGACGATCTTTCATCAGGTCGATCACTTATTGCAATTGTAATCAAACTGACTACTTAATCATGTCAAATTGCTTATAGGGGCTAACTGGCGCGCCAAGGAACCCGAAATTGTTGTATGAAGTCGAAATCACCTTTCTGAGAGACTTCGAGCTCTGTTGTTGTTGAGATATTTCTGGCGCCAAGAATTAATTCTGTCGCTGAACGCTGTGATAGGGTCTTCCCTGTTCTGCTACACTTGTATTTATTTTTTACTATAGAACTTTGGCAATTTCTTTAATTATCTTAGGGTTGACCTAAGGCTTAATGTAGCTTGACTCATCGACTTGACACGACTCAAGGTATAAACTTAACTCGATATGTTTGACTGACTCGAGGTTGACTGGACTCGAAGTAAAATGAAACATGTGACTCGTGACCCGTGTGTGCATTGTAATGTGATCGTGCGACTCGAAAATGAAAAAAGCAAAAATTTTCCGTCATTTTTGTGGAGGGTACCGACTTTCTCCCGAAAAAGAAAGACGTGAAAAAGAGTCGAAATTTTGAAGGTGCATGTTGAATGAGCTTAGTAAAATGTCATTTGATACTATCTCTCAAGGTGCAAGGATTAATCCATCCTAGGCTATCTCAATGGTTGACTCAATGATGAAAGTATTTGGGTATCTTAGGCACGGAGGCTAAGCATTTCATACTTCGTGATGCAATGACAATTATGGGTGATGTTGATATGATAAGGTATGCTTCAACGTTGTGTTAAGACTTCATGACAAAGGGTTCCTAAAGGGAAGTATATTTGGTCATGTATCTGTGCAGTGTGTGATAGTGACACTAAAGCTAGGCCACAAGAGCTAAGTGTGTGGAAAAAACATATTGTTAGAAGAGCCAAATAATGGTGACTCTTAGGCTAGGTAAGCTAATGATGTAAGGACCAAGCCCCCAAGTCTAGCTCTAAGTGAAAAGGGATGAGCATTGGAGATTCCTTGATATGATCATGGTGTAAGTGTGTGAATGTGAATATGAATACATGTTTATTACGGCC